TTCTGAATAGCATTCCCAAAATCACAAACTTTCTAGAATTATGGAGACATGCCTATGCCAGGTGACATGCCTAATGAGGATTTCATAACCCAGGTTTTTATGGCAAGGAACATCAGCTAAAGTTAGTGGTAACACTGAGGAATCTGTCAGAGGAAGACTATAGATCAGTCAGCACTCTGGGCACTTCCCCTGACACTTCGATGAGGTACAAGGTGGAAGAGAAGAAGAAGAAGCACTCTGGGTAATGTGATCAACATCACCCCAGCCGCCAGTAAATAACCTGGCACGCACTTTAGGTTGGGTCAATCAAGACGCTGAGGTAAATCTGCCTTTAGACCTTTGGCCCGACAGACATCTAGCCGGTAGACTCCTGTAGCTACCTCTATATGACGAAGCTCTACAGAAAAATGTGCTGATGTTTTATGAGATATTTATCGCTGATGATTCTGTCTCAGGATCTGTGCCTCAATGTTCTACCACACAATTCTGCTGAGAATCTCATATGGCTAGTTCATTCTGCTGGCACATTCGGTCTTGAATTTATCTCCAGCTGAACCTCAGATGCTTTCCTTTAATCCTTTCCTCTAATCTTCAAAGCACTCAGTGTAACAGACTTACTACCATCTATGAGTATCTCAATTGTATGAAAGATCAATTCCCATTATATATATATACATCAGTTACAGTCTCAACATTCTTAAACATGCAATTATGTTACAGTATCATGTAACAGATCAAACCTGAATACAGTGACTGTGAGAAAGTAGGCTGTAGTAACTAAACTAAACTAGAACAAGATATCTATGCACAAACCACAGGACATCACTATTGTATTGTTTAATAATTAAGGTTACAATTGAAAATCGTCAGATTTTGGGCAATAAATTCTGTATGGGTTCAAAAAACGGGGATATGTCACCAGTTTGGTGTAAAAAGATTATGAATATTAAACAACTAGCAGTGATTCGCAGCCACTTGTTATGCCTCAGGGAGCCAAATCTAGCCTACGGGTTTCCAGCTGAATAGCCCCGACTTTGGGGTTCACTTCAATTGATGTAGCAGGCTGATTTTAGAGGTTCATTTAAATCGATGTGGAGGGCTGAATTTAGAGGTTCACTTAAATCGATGTGGTGGGCTGAATTTAGAGGTTCACTTAAATCGATGTGGTGGGCTGAATTTAGAGGTTCACTTAAATCGATGTGGTGGGCTGAATTTAGATGTTCACTTAAATCGATGTGGTGGGCTGAAAGTTGCAGATATTGCAGCCAAGAAATAACATCAAAACCATTGTTTTAAAAATGAATGTAGGAGAAAAATGGCAACAACAGATGATAAATTGTGCATTATTTGCAATGATTTTTATTTTTCTAAACTATTTAAGAATTTATTTTTTTTAAACTGAGGTATAGAATGGTCTTTTCGAAGAATTTTAACAAGATGAAAAAAGCCTAATAAAAAAAAAAAGGGAATCAACTGAAAATAAATGCTGCTTTGAGAATGATCTAATAAATACATTCAACAACCTCAGGGCCACAAGGTGAATAGTTGCTGAGAAACATTGAATAATAATTAGCCCCTTCAATGTAATGCATATTCACAAATGCAGTGCGCTTTTTAAAAATTGTCTTTCCTGAACTGGTAGAGGATGTGATTAAACAATTTCCTGCCAGAAATGATAATAGGAGTACAACATTTGCCAACAGGAGGACTTCTCAGTGTGTCTGGGGCAGACATTAGTATGAGAACTGACATAATATTAATATTTGGGTTGGGACCATGAGTTGGCATAAAGGGCATCGATTAACAACTTACTTCAAAAAAAAAAATGTAAGGTCACAACAAGGCTAAGGCATCTGGAAATACTCTGCATCAAGATTTTGTGACAAAGCTTATGTCTTCTCAAAAACAATCGCATATCTTGGTTTTTAATCTGTCTCAGGGGATTGTCTCCCCCACATTGTTTGGCATATTTTTCTTTTTCTCAACATTTTTGTGTGCTTGTAGTAAAGTCTACATTAACATATCACAAAAATACAGAAAAGGCATTTTAAATTCATCGTAATTGAATCTTTTTATTTGGTGTGTAAAGCATTGTCAACAAAATAAGACAAAATTCAGGTTAACTTTGCTTTTGTTTAGATTTGCATGTGGTGGGTCGAATTCATATTGTTTAAAACCAATGTCAATACTAGGGAACTGTCGAGGGTATAACTTGTAAGGTGACTGGCATAATTGTCAAAGTATTTATTATGATTAAAACCAGCATTGTCACTGGGAGATCAGTATCTACACCTTGTGATGTCTGGTAAGGAAGACGGAGCATTTATGGGTTTCCACTCAGTGGTGTAAGTTCTCAATTACCCAATAGCAGTCATTACTGGGAGTAAATGGACAGCTTCAGCATCACCAGAAAAGATGTAAACTATTGTAATAAAGCCGCTATTCTACTGGACTTGGCAGCGCACCAGTGAGCTCATCACCACAGGTTCAATGAACAAATACACTTAATGGGCTAAAAACACATTCACTAAAAACAAGATACACGTGTCCTCACAGTTACTGAGTACAGTCTTGATATCTGACAGAAAACCTTTATACATCTTGAAGAAATTAGCGAAAATATCTGGTGTGTTTAGGAAATCCCACAGAACAAAAGCAACATTACTTCTTTTGTCTTACTCAGAAGCTTCTTCTTGTTGGTTGCACCGATATACATGAAAAACTACTAGCTAGTCACAGTTCCAGTATCACTGCAAACAGGTCACCCCATAACCACTTCAACATAAAATAAACCTATATGGCAACTAATGAATCAACCTGGAATAGTTACTGAATTAGAAAACTCGGTGAGAACTTGATTGAAAAAGAGAAGCTGTTCACTCACATCAAATGCTTCAGATGACAGCAACAGATGGTATGTGCTCTGAATGGGTAGAAAGCATTTGAAAATCGCACTTAACCTTCCTCACCTGGGTCTACACACGTAAAGGGTAATAATGAGCAAGCGATCTAACTGGCAAGCAATACACCAGGGCATGTGGGAAGAAGCAAGGACAGAGCAGATATCGTCAACACTGTACGAACTGGGCTAGTGGATTATGAGGAATCCCTGACACTAACACGATTACGTGACATGGGAGTAAAGCATGGGGAAGCAGGTCTTTGCCGTCTTCAAGGCCAAGACAGGAGACAATATAACTAGCTTCTGGTGAGAACAATTAGTAGCAAGTTTAGACACACCTTGGAGTGGCTGCCGCATCAGAGAACTGAGCACACATGTGCAGTGACGACTGTGATATAACATAACTCAGATCAAATACTGCTCAGATCCCAGTGGCAATGTTTCTAAAGCCACGACACACTGATATACTCAAGAAGAAATGTTAGTAAGGCCAAAAAAAATTTCAGTTGTAGAAAGTTTTTTTTGCTGCCAGAATTAGCTTGAACGGCTGGCTCAAGTCTAGGATCAGAACAGAAGAAACTGCTTACACATAGAAGATACCTGTCCACAAGTGTGCTGCAAGAACAACAACAAAACACACAGGTCAACAAACAGCACTGTTAAGACAAACATGCCAGAGTAAACAATCATGCATGACCCTAGACACACTGCTACAAAGATCATCTGCTACTTGTCCACACCAACAAAGGACAACTAACCACACATCAACGCCACACAAAACCTCACTTATTACAACACGCTCGATAAACACAAGTCATAAAATGCGGGCTACTGGGAACAAAATAAACAGGTTTCATGACTAACATTATTTTATCAACAACACAAATAAACACAGCTGATCATTTTAGGTTCTTTTTACAGAAAACCTTATATTTAATATTTGAACATTTCACTGACAATTTTTTTTCTTCCCTTCAAAGATCACCATAATGACTAAGATTATAATTACCAACAGCAACAATAAATGTATCGATTTGTTACGCTACCATATCCCCAACCCCAAATTAATTTGAGGATTTTATCTGGCGCCACAGACTTTCTGAATAAAGGGGAGTTTTCAGTCAAAACTTACTGTCAGACCATTACATCAGTTGCAATCAACCCCCCCCCCCCATGGAGATGTTCATTTAAATGCTTAGGTGCTGACGCTGAAAAAGTGGTTTAAATCTGCCTGGACAGCTCACACTGGCACCTAATTCTATGTTCTCTGGTTTACACACATACAGTGCTATGAGAGGAAATGTCTTTGTTTGGCTCAGCTTATTGGGAAACTGGCTAGTTCTGCTTCTCATTTAGATTATTTCATGGTTTTTCCTTCTGCCACTTTTTTTTTAAATGAACAAACACAAGCATGATTTGCACCCATTTTTCTGACACGAACAATCATAGAGAACAATTTAAAAAAAAAAAAACAACAACAATAGGCTCATAATTGTTCTCATACCTGAGACCCAACTCTATGAAAATCCTATCACCTTGTGTTCACCCTTATGACACTACTTTGCCTTTAGCACATCATATGCTGCAGGCGAAACATTAAAGATGCTAATAAAGAACAGGCCTGAAAACCTATTGTTTACCATCCCACGTGATGACTCCTACATACACACCAACTGTTGATGGTTTCCCTTGAAAGGTGTGGAGTAACAACTACAGTAAATAAGACACTATCTGAAAGTAAATGCAGTTCCTTAACTCTTAAAGTACAGAAAGCTGGTGTTTGGGGACAATATTCTCCTTAAATTGTGACACTAGCCAGCACTCATGGCTGCTAAATTTTTACCGAGCTAATAATTTTATTTAGTTTAAAAGTTGTATTCCCAAATATAATATCAATAAAGCTGGAAGAAAGCTGGGCCACAACCGATCTTGAAATTTTACGAACACGTAAAAACTCCAAGAAAAGAATCATCATGCACCAACTATCAGAAATGCTCATGCCCTTTAAGAGTTAAGATGACCAAATGATTTCTAGCTGAGTACTCCGAAGTTTGATCGGCACTTAGAACAACTATCTGTGACTGGCCGTGCGCTACTTTCACTTGTATAGATGGACCTGAGCATCGTTGGTGATGACACCTTGCGTGGCGTATTTCTTGAACATGCGCCAGAAGGCTGGGATGATGGGTTCATGGCGGATGTTCACCAGTTTGGGAAATGCCTTGCGGAATGCTTCTGTTGCTTCCTCCAGGTGGTAGTGGGGAATCTTAGGGAACAGGTGATGAATCTGATGGGTGCCAATGCTGCAAAGAATCAAATGAATGAGTTACATGATTACAGCTGACTACCTATTTCATGGTTTACCAATACTATTCTCCTACGTTTATCCAGCATCACAAGGAAGGGGCACTCACCCCCCTGACAATCTAAAACATCGTTGAATGTTGAGGTCCTCAGCCATGTGGATGTTTAAATAGAGACTACAAATTATACATCCTAGAAACTTCTAGAAATGCTTTCCCAGGACAGTTTATGGATGTAAGTCAAATAAAATCAGAGCTTTTATACTGGATTTTTCAGAAAGATTCTTGGAATACCCTGGACCAAGAAGAAGAAAACAGGTTTTCGAAAACAAGTCTTACAACAAATCTATGGACACATCAAGGATGCAAACTGTGGTTAACTGAGAGTGAGAAGCAACAACGAAATTCATAATCTGTTTAAATTACCACTGATCACTGGCATCATGAGAGCTAATAGACTAAAATGGCTGGGACACATTAAAAGAATGTCAGATGACAGAGAAGTAAAAACTATATACCAGGGAGACGAATGGTCATTGACATGAGGCAGACCAAGAAGACCACGGAGAGATAATATGAAGTCAGACCTGTAAACACTTGGTGTCACCAAGTGGAAAAAGAGGGCCAACCAGAAAAATGAATGGAGGTGGGTTATATCTGCAGCAATGAACCTCAAGGGCTTGGAATGCTGACGAAGAAGAACATAATGCTACATGATCTGAACATCAAGGAGAACTAGCCCAAAAGCAACATCCTCTCCTGAAAGAGTGGCCTGGGAGAAATGGTGAGTGTAGTTCGTAGAAAATGGGCACTGAAGATCTTCCTCTGTAAAGAACCCGTTGATTGACGATGATAATGACAGCAGTGACATCTTCCATAGTATTGTTAACCAATGCTAGTCACATTCCTCACTGCTATGGGTTGTTTTTTCATACCTCTCTATGACACAACTTTAACATCACATTCTGCACACACAAAAACCCAAACAGGTGCCAACTAACTAGCATCTTCTGAGGCTCTCAAAATATGCATTTTCCTATCCTTCAGAGCCGCATTTTACAAAGCACATAACCTGGTCCTCTGGTTCTTGGCTCACACTGACATCCCATATATGGCCCACCTCTACACAACCCTTATATAGGATGAGGGACTTCTTAGTGATTTACATTATCGGTAGTCATGATAGAGTAACATCTTCAGTCAGTACTCTAAACCTAGAACAAGGCATCAAACTGGCTAGAACTTATCAGGTCAACTTATAAGGACATCTATATTAATAAAAATTTTAATTTTCTGATGTAATCTAAAAACTCGGAAACTACTGAACCGATTGCTTTCAAATTTGCACACAACGCTGCCTTTGACTCCAAGCGTGATTTTTTGGTCAAAAAATCGCACAAACCACGAACGGCGTAGCTCCAGCAACGGTCAAATCATTATTTGTTTCGTTTCCGGCCCGGATTTGTTTTTATTTAATTGGCCATATTTCATTTCCACTATCATGCATGAGTTTGATAGCGTAGTTGGTAGCTATTCTGCCTATTAGGCGGATGACCCGCATTCGATCCCCTGCTAGGTGATATACATTTTTTAGCCCTCAACCGCGCGGCTGGCACGTTGTGTTGTGGTTTATGGCTAGGCTGCGGCGACGTGATGTTTAATGGTCATGTCACGGGTAATCTTAGTTTGCCCTTGAGAGGGCCGCTGGCCCATTGTGTTCAAGGTTTACAGCTAGGCTGCAATATCTGACCTAAACTCTTCAGTCGTTAGTAGTATAGTTGTAAGTATGTCATCCTTCACGCGGGTGACCGGTGTTCGGTTCCCCCGCTGGGTGATAATTGTTCTGTTTCCCTTAAAAGGGCGGTTGCCACGTTGTGCTGTGGTTGACAGCTAGGCTGCTATTTCTGCGCCTTTTGCCCAAAGACGTTCGATTTCAGTTATGTCCTAATTAGCCTCCACACAAGGCTTCTCGATCAAAAACTTTTCGGCGATGACAGAAACTTAACTAAGACGGCTTACAGTCCAGTTTAGTTTAGGTGGACACGGATGCCAAGGTCAGTTAAAAATCGTTCCCTCTGGAGGGAAAGATGATGGGTGCGAGGTATTTTTCTCCACTATTCGTGAGTATAATGTACTTTTTACTGTGGGTTCCATCACTGGTTACATAATGAAGTTTTTTTCTTTCTATGTGGGGGGTAAAATTTAACTAAATAGTCTGTGGCGACAGCATGCAGCGCTAGCCCCTCTTTTCTATACTGACTGTAGTGACAGTTGTTTTTGTTGTTGTTGTGATGGTGTGGTAGTGGTTGCAGTAGTACTGGTACTGGATGGCTGTTACACTGGCTACATTTACTTTTCTGTACAAGTTAATGCTACCTATTCAAGTCTGGGTGGACACGGATGCCAAGCTCAATTTAGTTACAATATTTCATTACACTGTGACTTTCCCATCCTTCTGAGAAGATGATATGATGGGGGGGGGGGGGGGTGTATGCCAGACACAGTTAGCTGAGAGAGCTTAAAATATTATTTTAAAGTTCTCATTTCTTAACTATTTCTATTTTAATAATTTCGCCAGGTGATTTTTCAATTCTTCCGAGAGGGAGATATGATTAGTGGTGGGGGAAAGGGTTATGACAGACACAGTTAGCTGAGAGAGCTTAAAATATTATTTTTAAGTTCTTACTTCTTAACTATTTCTATTTTTATAATTTCGCCATGCTTTTGCCATGGATGATTTTTCAATCCTTCGGAGAGGAATATATGACTGCATCCATTTCACCATTCTAGGCCACAGCTAGACTAGAGAAAAGAGTGGGTTCTATGTAATTCTTTTTACACAAAAAGGCGTATTTTGAGTTTGCTTGTGTTTCCATCTCTCAAAATTGGACCTGGAGCACTCACAGGATTTAATTTGTTAGTCCCACATTATGCCAACAAAAGCATTACATGGTTAGTTTTAAGGCTTCCAAGGAGGATTACATGGTTTTAAGGCTTCCAATGAGGATTACATGGTTAGTTTTAAGGCTTCCAAGGTGACTGGTACAGTGACACAATTGACTGTGATTTGTGTACTTCAGCCAAAGGGGTCCACTGTAGCCTGTGTGAACAGGCTTCAAAAAAACGCTGCTCTTCAACATCAGGCTTGTTACTGCAATAACTATCCCACTTTTAAGGATTTTATTTGAAGTCCCCTCGTACACCATCATATATACCAGGTAACCTATTGTGTTTTTCCTATTCAAAATCACAACAAAAAACAACAATGCTCTAAAACTTACTTATGAATAAGGTAATGACACCAGCCGTATGATCGATCCACGGATGACAGTTGCCCTCGCACATTGTCCCACAGACTGTCCCCGTACCAGGGAATGTCGTCATCGTGGTGATGAAGAAACGTAATGATGACAGTGTACGTGGCAAAAATAAAATCTGGTATCACATAGTGATAAAAGAAAGATCCCCAGCCAAAGACTTCAATGTAGCGAGCTAGCACCATGGACCAGCATATAAGACACACTAGTGACACTGTACAGTGCATGACGTGGTGGCGGAACAGGGGGTCCAGCGGGCTGAAGTGATGCACCTGAATAAAGAAAATACTGATGATTAATGTTATAAATGATGACAGGTATTTTAGTACACCAAGGCAATCACTTTAGCTTTTGTTATGACCTACAAGCACCAAGTCAGCTTCATTGTATGCATGGCAAGTGCAATGCGGAGTATTATCAGAAATACAAAACATGGCAGACATTTAGTTAAAATGACAAACAAGACAGAACTGCTGATAACTTTGTTTAAAAATGCTCTTCCGCTGTGACTTGCCATTCTAAGGATGCTGAACAAGTTATGGTTTATCACAAGACTGCAATGTCTGCCTTTTTGTCCAATATATTTTAAGTTCAGTAAACCCTCTATTTGTAAGAGAACAAACCTCTGTGTAAAGATGTGACAGAACAAACCCCTGTATAAAGATGTGACAGAACAAACCAATGTACAAAGATGTGACAGAGCAAACCCCTGTATAAAGATGTGACAGAACAAACCAATGTACAAAGATGTGACAGAGCAAACCCCTGTATAAAGATGTGACAGAACAAACCAATGTACAAAGATGTGACAGAACAAACCAATGTACAAAGATGTGACAGAACAAACCCCTGTGTAAAGATGTGACAGAACAAACTAATGTACAAAGATGTGACAGAACAAACCAATGTACAAAGATGTGACAGAACAAACCCCTGTGTAAATATGTGATGGAACAAACCTGTGTAAAGATGTGACATAACAAACCTGTGTAAAGATGTGACAAAACAAACCTGTGTAAAGATGTGACAGAACAAACCCCTGTGTAAAGATGTGACAGAACAAACCCCTGTGTAAAGATGTGACAGAACAAACACCTGTGTAAAGACGTGGCAGAACAACCCTGTGTAAAGATGTGACAGAGAAACCCCTGCATATAGATATGACAGAACAAACCCCTGTGTAAAGATTTGACAAAACAAACCCCTGTATAAAGATGTGACACAGCAAACCCCTGTGATAAGATTCTGCAGCTGGAAGCCATGATAGACTTGCCTTCAAGCCCCATGATCATGAATGTAAACCCCCCTCTTCTTTGGTGATCAACATTTGCTAGGTATCTATTCCAGCATACGTCACAAACAGATTCATTAACTTGAGCTGTTCACTGGTGCCCCTTAGTTGGAGCTACCATAGACCACAAACATTTTTCTCTCTGATTGAAAAAGTTTTGTCATTCCCATTGAAGTAAGCATGTTGTCAAAAAAATGCACTGATCTGATGATTTCCTAGGCAGACTGCAAAAAAAAGGGCACCAGTGTATTTTATACAGAGGCCACATCCCAAATGATGTCTGATGTATTATCACACTACAAGGTAATGGATGGATGGATATTGCACATGGCTTTACATGTCCATACCATTGCAATTTCCATCTTTTCACATTTGTATATATATTCAGCTAGCTAGTGTAGCTTCAATAAATCTGTGCATGCTAAATAATTTAAAATATGGACACAAAATCTGCTGCACACCCAAGGCCTTTGATGTACAGTAGAACCTCGCTTAACGAGCACCTCGCTTAACGAGCAATTCGCATAACGAGCAAACAATTTGCAAAAAAAAAAAAAAAATGACTAGCTTAACGAGTGACGTTTCGCATAAAGAGTGGCGAGGAGAGGGGAAGTCCCGAATTGTGAGCATGTTACGTCAGTCTGTAGTTGGATCGTAGTGCCGCTTGTGATCACACATTTTCTCAAACTTGTGTTATATTGTGATATATGTACATGAATCCTCCAGGCCTACAAGTTGACCTTCCTGAAGAATTTAAGTTCAGCAAGATACGGTTTCTGCCTCCCAACACCATCACTCCGTTTCTCCAGCCCATTGACCAGCAAGTTATTTCTAACTTTAAAAAGCTCTACACTAAAGCAATCTTTGAGCATTGCGTTCAGGTGACTGAAGGGACCAACCTCACTCTCAAAGAGTTTTGGAAAAAAATCACTTCCATGTCGTTGCCTGCCTCAAGATAATCGACAAGGTGGGGAAAGGGGTTACCTAGAGAACCCTAATTTCTGCTTGGAAGAAGCTTTAGCCGGAAAGCATTGTTGATTTGTGACTGAGGGGTTCAAGACAGTACCTGTGGAACCTGTGGTCAACGAGATTGTGTCTTTAGCCACTGTCATGGGATTGTAGGTGGATAGCAGTGCTATCGAAGAGCACAGCCAAGAGCTGACCGTCTAAGAGCTCATCGAGTTGCATTGTCTTTCACAGCAAAAAGTTTTGGAGAAAAGTTTGTCAGAGGAGGAGGAGAAGGTAACAGAAAAGCAACAATCTTCTGATGAAATAAGAGAAGTGCTGAAAGCATGGCAAACTGTTGCATCTTACATTGAGAAGAATCATCCTAATAAGGAAGTGGCTATGCACATTGCAAATTTATTTAATGATAATGCTGTGTCGCATTTTCGCCTAATTTTTAAGCATCGGCAAAAACAAATGTCTCTGGACATCTTTCTAGTAAAAGAAAAATTTAGCTATGTATCATAATTATTTTAACTTTTTTTCTGCAAATCGAATTCACATTCCAAGTGGGTTCGTTCCGTGTTTGAAGAGAATTTGAAGATGATTCACTCTCCCTAACAATATGTATTTAATTTTCTTTGAATAAACGTTATACATAGCACTTTGTATTTTTTTCGACATGGAACGTATTATCGTATTTTACATTAATTTATATGAGAAAAATTGTCTCGCATAACGAGTGTTTTGCTCAACGAGAATGATTCTGGAACGAATTATGCTCGTTAAGCGAGGTTCCATTGTATTTTATTTATAACAGGCAACCTGACTTATATATGTGTAAGTAATCCATTTAAGGTATCTCTGATGGCATACCCGCCTACATGTTTGAATCATTAAGCTGTAAAACTACCCATTGAAATTATAATTTCTTTTTCGCTCAACCTACGCTCTCAGCTTATCTGGGGTTTTTAGGATAAATATTCTACATTACAGCGTTCAGGACAAGCCTATATCAGCTCCTTCTCCCTCCTCTACAGCCAATGAAGAATCTCCAATAGTACCGAGAGTCATCTGATTAACTACTCGGCTTGCCTTTATCCCAAGTCTGGAGTGGCGCCGAGAACCCACACACATTTCCTGCTGAATTTTTCTCTCCAGGTACATGCTTTTAATACTTTCCACTCTACTTGTGACCTTGTGCCACAGGTGCGAGATCTCTGCCGTGTCCAATCGCAGTACACCACCAAGTGGTGGCCAGTCCAGCCAACCTATCTGCCTGCTCATCCCGTCTGAATTGCCCGGACAAAATTCACTGTCTCCCACAACATGTGACATCTGCATCGATATGACCCATTCCAAGAGAAAAAACCCGCCTCTGCCTTCCTGAGCATGCTTTGCCAATCTGTTACGACAATGTGTGTGGCTGAGCTTTTCTCCGCTCAATAGAATGTCAGTTACTGCCTCAAAATCTATTCCTATGCTAGAGGGCCAAGCTCCCCTCATAGCTGTCCTCTATCAGCTGCTGAATCTCATATCTTGCCGCCCATTCTTGCATCCTCTTCTCAAGGTAATGACCTGTTTTTGCAGCACTTTTCTACTCTATTTTTTTACCCATTCTTCTGCTTGGCCAATCTCTTTAACGCAGCAGACATTGTGGATTGTCTTTCCAGGATCTGTTCCTCTTAAGAAGTCTCATGTCAACCCAGCCAAAAATGGGCCCCCAGAAAAGGTTACGGGAAGTTAGGGTAGCCAGCATGATACTGATCATATCACTTATCGACTTCTGGTCTTTTAACAATGTGGTTTGCACTAGGTAAAAAGAAGTCAGATCAGACAGTGATCTACACTTGTTCCTGTCTACATTTTTAATTATGACAACCCTCCTAGCCCGTCTGTTCAGATACGACATGCATGGTAGTTCAGGATACTATATTTTACTGCTCTTATAGGCCCCAATAACACTTGATCGATTTTCTAGGGCTTTTTTATACTCAGCAACAGCAAAGGGATCTGCCCCATTACGTATTACATTCACTTGTCGCTAAAAATAATGTAAGCAACAGAGCTATTTCACAGATCATGAGCGACCAGGTCGCCCATTAGCTGGTCAGCAGACGGTCGGGAGAGTATTGGGATCTGTCTCCTTTCATCGCATCAACACTGCAAGAGTGCTTTTCTGCACTACTTGGTGGACGGCAATGTTAAGCCATTTACTGTGACACAAATAACATCACAATTATAACCAAAAGCTCCCCCTTTGGGGATTCTGGCTGAACGTGACCATCTTGTTGCTAGGAAAGCGGACCAATTTGCACTCCGCCTTTACTTCCCTGGAACTGTATCCAGTACTCATTCAAGGCTGGGTTGACTCCGCCTTTACTTCCCTGGAACTGTATCCAGTACCCATTCAAGGCTGGGTTGACTCCGCCTTTACTTCCCTGGAACTGTATCCAGTACCCATTCAAGGCTGGGTTGACCTGGTGGTCAAGGTCTTTATTTGCATAAGGAACCTGTTAAAACCAGCACAAAAAGCATTGTTTTTTTTAATGTACATACCTTCCACATGTAGTATGGGCAAAAGAGAAATGTGTGGCAGAGATTGCCACAGATAGTGTTGACTAACTCGGAGCCTGAGAATGACCCGTGTCCAGCGTCATGGCCTGCCACGAACACAGCAGTAAACAATGTACCTTGCACCAGCCAGTAGACTGGAGTGATGAACGCCTGCATACAATGAATGTTTGTTAAACAAACTGCAATGGCATCATGTAGAGACTAGCTCAACTCTTTTGATATTTTAGGGATCAAGCAATGTATCAACTATTATTATATGTATATATGTAATAATAAATAGGTAGACAATGTATTGATCGACATTCATAGAGAGAAGTAGAAAGCTAGGAGGACACATATGACAACATAAAAATCTAATGCTTTGGTTACAGTGCTAGGAATTAAACCTGTCACCTCCAAATGGTGTATGTGCCTCGCTGTGGAAACAAGTGCAATAAGAATAAGATCGTAGACACCCCAATTTTTAATTAACCTGCACATCCTCTAGCAGCGACAAGGTTCAGGCTTATTAGTATGTAGACAAGCTAAGCGTCAAACCAGTGGAGGCAAACAGAGTAACTTTAATAAAGGAGATCTGAGACAGGACAAGAAAACAGTGAGTGGAATGGCAACTGGTCTTTACAAGCAAAAGGTCTGACTAGATTCCTAATGCATTAAAAAAAGGGGCTCCGCTTTACTCACAGATACAGATAACAAGAGTGTGGGACAGAATAAGGAAGCACACAACTCTTAGAACAAAGGCAATACATCTTGACACAGAGTGAGTAACACTGTTTGATGAGTGTGGTGAGGTGAGGCACCAGAGTGTCATCATAACTGAACAGATCAGTGGCAGAAGAAGCAGACCAAGAAAGATAATACTGGATGGCTGAAAACAGTGGCAATGAGGAGTGCTACCAACACAGCTTTGATTTACAACACAAATGCCCAAGAAAAATGATGAAGCACGAATGCTTCTCTACCCCTTGGCACATGATGATACTTTTGTACTTGCATTACTGCACACACTTAGATGATTGAGGGCCTCAACCTTTAGCACAAATTGCAATCTGCAGCCATTCATGTTGTTCCAGCCTTGAACAACTGTATTCATTTGGACATTTTCAACTTGAACTTATTTCCCTGTAGATGGCAGTCTATTGTGGCACCTATCTGGCATTGACAGAAATTTCATGTTTCCCACACAAGGAGAGCTCTCATAGTTTGAATACTTACTACATTCTGTGTACATAAAACGTTAAAAACTGCACATATATATACAAAACAAATTACATCGCCACAACAAGCAGTTAGATATGGAAAGTGTTAATATTTAATAACATTGTATGATTCACAATTTCTGCATCTTATCCACAAATGGAGCATAGGTCCACTCAGATTGAACCCTTTTCTTTCAAAGTTTAAAAAAAAAAAGACTAGTAAGCTCAGAGAAGTGGAACAGATATTTTGAATGAGTGAAAACTGCAATCAAATTTTTTTAACTTGCATTTTACTGCATGTTTTGTATAGGAATGGGTAAAATAAATATGCAGGTGCACACCACAAAGCGTCTAAAACGCTGCTCAATTATCTATTGCAGTAGTGCTGAAAAATGCATTTAAAAGGTGCCGGTCCTGCCTGCTGTTGTGTATCTCCAAGCAAAATCTCACTGGATCTTAAGGGTTTCAAATGATCACCCCACGGGAACTGAAGGTCACAACTGGGATAGCTCAGAAAAGAATCTAATACCACCAGGTAGCTCCAATCATTGTAGACAGTTCAGTTTTAAATCCTGTTCCTTGAGAAGGCTAAAGCATTACTTCTGGCTATAGGTCGTGTACATGTAGTGACATGTTGTCGAAAAACGTAAATTCCACTGGTTCTAATGTGTGCCTGTTTAATCGGCCATGATATGAATATTTTAACCTAAAGCTGCAACGAGTTGTCAATATGATGGCAACAAGTTTCTTAAGGCCAAGTTGCTGCAAAAAAGTTTACTATAAACCTCAGTGATAGAGTTCATGGCATAAGTCACTGATGCATGTTTACTGGGCCCTAGGAGAAGAAATGACATTTAATGCCTGACTCGTTGATTAATTACCCAATGTATATTCATGACCGTTTGCGCTGCGAAGGGTTAAAGTCCCTCAGCTCACTTGCAACATTAATTAGGTGCGATTTTTGATACTGCATTAGGTATAAGTTACATATGCAGGAGCGGCAGGATTTTTTTTAAGTCAGGACAGCCATGGGGCTGATACATTCTCAATAATCTGGGCACCAGGACTTCCAGAAAGTTTAGGGAATTCTCTGGCAGGAAAAAACAACAGAAATGGGAAATGGCCACTGTACCTTATTGATCATGGCCTAGATATCTGGTATGGACTACCTCTACCGTGAATTATAAAGAAACAACAAAAAGGTATTTACCTGTGTGATGAGAGGCAGCCCTTGCCACGTCCAATCTACCACAAAATACAGACATGCAATAGAGGCAAAGTCCTTCAACATGTAGTAGATAGAAAGAGGTACGTTGGACTCAAAGCAATTCTGAGGTATAGTCTGTGGAGACAAGCGAGAACAATACATACACACAATAAAAATGTCTGTCTAATAATATTTAGCTACTAACACAATTTAGTTATGGCAGCAGTATTCTAATATTATTACTCAACAATCTCTAGTCACTTTGATGTTTAAAATTTGAATGTTGCGTGGCAGCTGAATTAGTATAGTATATTTTCATGTGTTAAACTTAAAAAAAAAAACTGCATTACCACCCTACATATTTTTCTTTGCTATTCCACAATTGTACTGCTTACAAACAAAGACTATTTCCACAGTGCACAAACATTACAATCAAACAAGGGTGTCTTAAGATATCAATTTTTCTGTTGCTGCCCCACAACGGTACCCCTTACAAACTATTTTACATTGCAAACACATATTTCCATTTTCAATCATTACACAGGATCATATATCATAACACTATAATGATACATCTATCAAGTAGCTTAACTTCTGTGTCATCTAATTATGTTTCTTGTAGGCCTACATATAGCCAAAAGGCCTATGACCAAATAAATGCACCAAAATCATTAGAGACAATAATCTAGGTAAGTGATTTCTAAACTGTGTACCGCGACCTTACAGTGGCGCCGCAAAATATTTAAAGATACGAGAGCTGTATTTGTTTTTATCTCTTACATACATTGTTTTTAGGTTAGGGCGCCGTGGAAAGTTTAACTGGGGGGAAAAAAAACCATGACTAAGAAAAGTTTGAGAAACACTAGTCTAGGTCTTACAGCAATGGGTTTGGGAAAGGGGAGGGGTGTGCTTTTGGTGTAAACCCAAGCTCCATAAGCAGGTTGTAAAAGTTGACTTATCAACGATTTAATAATATCAGATGTGGCTAAACAGCAAAGATAAATGCAGCCTAGCTGTAAACCACAAAATAACAAACCAACCACCTGTTATGGGTGAATAAAAAAGATAAATTAACTCACGTTAACAAGAGGAAGATAAGAACCCAACCACAACAAAAGCCAGAATTAATCTTTCACTGGCAACAGAATCAACAGTTGTTACCTTTTTAATCTCAACAATAGAAGGCAGCTTTCTGGGCAGACTGACTTTGGCTAGAGCATCATCCTCTGGAGGCTGGATGGTGTCTGCAACTGCTACCTGGTCATCTTCAGGCTGGCTAGACTCCTCCCCGCTGTGAGTGACTAGCATTGTCCTCAACAAAAACCACAGCATCAGGAAGCGGTTGGGTTTAGTGCTGGCACTCCCCGATGATGTCTGCTCCATGGCTTCTTAACCTGCAGACAATAAATTGTTTCAATAGTTCACCTTCACAGGAATGGTGGCTTCAACAATTAAACACACTGTTAAACTTGCAGATATACCACTGTTTGAGTAATTAACAATAATTAACAAACACACTGCAACCAACCAGCAGACACACAGTTTAACAATGTTTTAATAATTACCAAATACAGTGGTAACAACCTGCAGATGTATGGTGTAAAGACGGTTTTAATAATTACACACATCATTGCAGGAAAGGACAAATGTGAACATTCACAAGTGTCTATGCCATGTGTATGGAAGTTTTGCAGTCGACAGTAGTAATCAGTCAATGGTAAACAACCTGCATACTGCAAGGAATGTTCAATAATTAACAAACGCACTTAAAAACCTGCAGATGCATTGCTTTACTAATTAAATACACTGTTAACACGTAGATGCATGACTGTTTCAATAAGTAATAGAATACCTAACATACACCTACAAGTGTACCTGCGCACACAGGCACAAGCATGCATACACACAATGTGCAGAAAACAGCTTTTCTGGGAGTGCTGACACAGCCAGGGGGAAAAGGTAAATGAGATGCAGTTTTCAGCAGTCAGAGATGTGATAACAGAATTCAACAGTCTTGTTACCTCAAAGCCACTTAGTTGTATAACAAGTCTAACTTTGTGGGTTCCTAGGTCGCACGGCGGGGGAACAGATCCACTGCCCCATTATCATGACATAAAAGTCAACTAATTACGGGAGTTTCTTTCTGCTGGTATGCATCTACCTGAGAGGTAAGGAACCAACAGCCCGTGGATCATTGTCAGCTGTACTGTATCACCATCTTTCTATGTTTCTATGCTCGAGTATCTGGCCCATGACTATCCCTATTTTCAAAATGTTGGCCCCAGGGTAAACTTAGATGGACAGCCCTTGTCCATACAAATAAGCCACATTTGTCAAATGAATGTGCATGCAACATTCAAGTTCTAGAACAAGACTAAAACCCAGAAGTGGATGAACAACCATAACTTTCTAGTTGAGTTTACAGCCGGTGAGCTCTGTGTGCTTTTATATGAGTTAAGAAACGTACATAGTTGGAAAGACTGTACCAAACAAGACAAATCCAGGATGCAATGAAAATGATAACAATTCTGTTTTCAAACAGTTGGGTTTTAAACAATACCTACATCACAACAGATTGGTACATTACTGTTGACCCTACAGACACCCAGTAATCAACTGCAAGTCTACACTACCGTGTGAGTGCCCACCAATAACTATCTCGCAGCAGGCTTTTAAAGCATGTGCATAATTAAAATGCAATCTATGATCATATACCATCTCCCCACAACATATTCACGCTATGTTGCTGGCACAGCTATAATGCAAACACAGGTATAGGAAATCAATAAATGTGGTCACATATGAGGTATATAACACCATATATAATTAAACTAGGAAGGCTAAACAGGTTAACAGGTGTTCAAAGACATCAGGTGTGTTGTGTGAAAAAGTGCCAATATCACGTGCAAAATGCAATAAAGTCTTTTAAAAAAATATATCGGACCAAAAATGAATTTGGTTGTGCATCTATATTTGTTATGTGTCTACCTGTGTAGGCTGCTAATTAAGAATTACAAAAATGTAAGAGTTGTATGTCGACTCTGTGGCTAATTCGATGCAAACGCCGGGTTCGATCCCAGCTGCGGGCTATGGGCCTTGCATTGGTTTCGACAGTGGTATCAAGAAAGCCGACCGTCCAGAAAGTAATGGCAAACTACTGGAAGTAAATTTGCCTAGAAAAACCACACAACAGCCAGGGGCTGTTGGGGTTGGTTCTGCAACGTCCTGTGAAGGATATGCAACTAAAATTTTGTTTTCAAAAAGCTGTATGTTTAAACAGCATGAGAGTTGCCAGTTTTGTTCCTGTTTACTTCACAAGAACAACTTGTTATGCCCTGTGTGAGGTATGCTTCTGTGTTGTTGGTAGCCTGTTTGATCCAGTTTATGACTGGTTTCTAGGAATCTAGCACTCATGCCATCCATTTTGCAGGGAAACTTAGTAATGCTTATTACGTGTGGCTCTGAGGATCCTTCTTGTCTGTGCTGCTTTTAAGGTTAGGAAGAATTATAGCATTTTCCCCAGATATTTAGGACTAACCCTAGTTTCCAACAAGTTTTGTATATATGCTTGCAATAAGATGTTTTATGCTAGTCAGCTAGTGGACGCATGTTTGAGCATATCGTCTGAGACTTCATCTGGACTGCGTGGCATTTTTTATCTGAATTTTCTCAATTCTTTGTGCAGCTCGGTTACAGTAATATCTCCCTCTCTCTCTCTCTGCAGAGTTCACACAAGATGCTTTTGTGAATGTAGACTTTACCCCATCTCTGACAGCTTTCTTTTGCTTCGAGGTTACTGAAAATGCTATTATTTCTTTCTTACAGTTGTGGGTCATCAGACTGTCCCGACTGCTTCTGTCACTGTGAGCATGACTGCCATCTTTTTGGAGAACTGTTTCCTCTTGAGATGAGTTATCGTTCAGTGCTTTTGTCAATCTCCAAAATTACTAGTATTTTTACCCATGTTTGGAGAGGCAGTCTTTCTTTTGTAGAATGTTCTACACTGAAGGTTTCTTTCTCTGACATAAAGAGGGTCCTTTCTCTGTTGTGTTGCCTTATTTGCTTGTCTGTTGCATCAGCTTCCATGCTATCTCTAGCATCACAGAAAAAACTTCAAAGAACTGCCAGTTCTTTTCAAAAAGTGGCTTATAATTTTTTCTCTTCCCTCTGGGTATTGCTTTTTTTGCCACATTTGGTATGGCGTTGAAATCTTGTGCATCTATGCTTACCTTACCCGACAGTACTTTTTTGCAGTTCAAGTATACAAGTTCTTGAAATAATTTCTAGTCTGCCTTTTTTGTAATTCCAATTGAGAAGCTTCTAGAGACTTGTTTAATGTTAATACAGTTGATGGAAGTCTTCACATGCCTGCGGTCACTGCCTCTTAACTGGGAATTACAGATAACTTGTGGAAGTCATCTATAGTAAATGTCAGATAGGGTGTCCCACGTCGACAGTGGTTTGTGGGGGTCATCTGGGCAGCTGAGAATGGTAGGGCTGTTAGTGATTAGTTATTCCTCAGGGTCTAAAGAGTCATTACCCTAGCTCAGTGCGTGGTAGCAGGTTATTATTATAAAGTTTTATAAGTTCAGTTTGGCGGTGAGTAAATGTTACAGAGGAACATAGTTTTTCTTATTTAGTTGCAGTTGGACAACTATGAATTCAATATTCAGCTGGTTGGATCTACATAAACCAACAGCTGGATAGAATTAAATAAACAACAGCTGGTACAATTTATTTACCAGTGTTGCAACTTCATCTTTGTCTAGTATCTCTATCCTGATGGAATATTTGATATCCTCTAACATGGAATATCTGGCAAACCTCTGCCTCTACATCCCCAAGGTAGAAGAGGAGGAACATCCCTTGAATGCAGATAATTTTGACTCACAGACGTTGCTCTAGCTGTTTTTTGTGTGTAGTTTTATTAACTGAACACACCAACAGTCCAGTACCTGATTATTAGGGATGGAAGAGTGTCCTGTCTAGTATCTCTATCCTGATGGAATATTTGTGCAAGGCCCAAACACATTATTTAAAACAATGACTGCTGAGAAAGAGGGACTAAAAAAGTTGTATATCAAAAGACAAGCTTCATCAATGATGAAATCAAAGGCCTTTACGTTTCAGATACAAATTCAATGGACACAAGCTTGCTGACTGGTATTTTCTTCTAATCACTGCTCGTTTATTCTACAGCTTAATGCTTTCTGTTTTATCTTATCGGTTTCTTGCTGTGGTGCTCGCTTATATTTACTGCAGCACCCTTTAGTCTTTCACTGTGGTCTGTATTTTTCTCTGTATGACTTAAGAAGAGCAGGTTCACCTGCATTTAACAGCTTTTTACTGCTCCAGCCCCAAGCCAATCCTCTTCAGTTACCATAACATGCAATTTTACTTGAGTGACTAGTTCCCTTGTCTAACTATGGGGCACAGGGTCTTGTGTGACACTTGCTTTCAATGTCCTCTGCCTTTCTTTACTTCAAGATTTGCTCTTGGCTGTTTGAGATCTGGTAGTTATATTTTCTATCTATAGGATGACGTGGCAAATACTTTCTTAGCCGCCTTTTATGGCACGCATGGCTGCAGTTACAGTGCATACAACTTAGTAGTGTTAGATAACTTATTAACTAGTTTAGTTAAACATCGAGTGACGTTGATTTCATCATCAATCATACTATAACGACCACTGTCTGAGTTGTCAAACTGCATTAGTAATAGTAACACAATTACAGCTTCAATAATCAGTAAATAGCTGAGTCAAGATTAACCCCCAAAATCCAACTGTGTTCAGGTACAGTTTGATGACGGCGGTCACGTATGGTTCTCATGCATGCTGCACTCAAATCACATGTCCACACGCCGGCGATTTAAATAAATTTTCGCGAGTCTTACCTAATAACCAAAATGTTTAACCACCTATTCATTTAGGCAAGACAAATGTTCATACCTAGAGACGCTTCCGCAACAAAAAAAGTGTGATTTTGTCGACGAAAATGCAGAAACTGCATCAACAGAAAGGTTAACGTCCGCCTGTGTCCGTGAAAGTCACTTCGAGAGATCACCGAGAAGTGATAATGGCGCCAGCCAAAAGTACCCGATCAAGGTCACCTAGCTTCTTCAGCTAACACTTGCGAATTTCTTTAAAATATGCCTATGGTATTCACAATGACTAAACTTAAATAAACGCGGATATATAATATTTAATTTAAACCTTTAAAGGTGCCGCCGTCTGTTTTGCGTAAATAGACGTAGAGTTCTAAAATGTTGATCGTTTACTAATGTCTTATCGAAAGTTAAATGCACTTTAAACAAGCCAAACCAAGCGACGTTGGACTAGGTAGTGGTTGCCTTCTTTTTGCAGCCTTCAAATGCGTGCTGTC